ATTTGAAGATGCCCCCTCCCCCAATTCTCAGTAAACAGGCCAGACCACATCACAGTAATCTCGTGAGTGGGTTCTTTAACGTCCCCTGCCTAACCAAATTAACTAATTAATAGATGCAGGAGACGGGACCTACGGTTTATTCGTCCTTACCCGAAAAGACTAGAATGTCTATCCATTTCTTGTTAAAGAAAGGTAGCGCATTCTCCTCAGTTAATTTAAGACCTTGAGTGCTGGTCCGGCCGGGGCTCGAACCATCGACCTCGACCTTCCGCACAACAGTTCAGCGCTCTAACCAATTGAGCTAACCGGGAGGCGGTTAAATAAAGAAAGAAAAGATCCCGGAAATCGAGTATAAATTCTAACTTGAAAGGAAACATTTACATTGTGGTGCAACTATAAACGAACAAAAATTACTTACTCGGAATGTGACAATGGCTTCGCCGCAAGCCTGTTACCTGTGCAACCCGCTTTCGCTCTCAGATATTTCTAGATGCGAAGTTTGTTCTCGAGTTCAATTTTTTTTTCCCCAGTCGTCAGATCGCATTTTAAGTATATTACTGCAGTGATGCCCACGCCTAGCTCTCTAGTATTAATTCGTCATCTAAATCAACCAGGCTTTGCTTCCGTGCACAAACATACCGTCGTCCAGATCGAATATAAAGAAGAGGCGTGCAAGAAATAAAATTCGTTGAGGGAGGCAACTTTAAATTTAATGTTTACGTGGTAGTACCAATTCTTAACGAATAACGGCTTTTACCATTTGTTCCGTTATTTTAAGAATTTTTTCTAAGACTAGAATTAAAACTTTTTCACTATGTTTCACCTGAAGCGTTTTTCAGCAAAGATACAACATACGGAAGATTTTGGCGAGACAGGGGTTACTTCTCGGAAGGCAGAGCTCCCACTTAAAACAGTTGGGCTAAAAACATATAAAATTCTTGTTCTTTTTTAACAGAGAAAAGCGCTTACCTGTCTCACCCAGGCGCTTGTTGTCAAAATTTGATTTTTTTCGTCCTGTAGACAAACAACACAAAAACATTCAGGATTTGTTCCCGCGTGTAGTACTCCTGACTACACCCTCTACGTGTGAGCTATTTTTGGAAGTTTGTGGAGAGATATTTTCAAGTCTTCCTATATCTTCCGATAACAAAACAAATTTGGCCGTCATGACCTCGTTTCCGTGCAACTCACCCCAGTTTTTACCGGATGGCGGCCATTTTGGAATTAGGTGTATATGGAGGCACTGTTGAATACCCCTAGGGGTTTCATTAAAAGCCGGTAACCTCGCCGCCTAAAAGACCTCTTGGCGCCGTTTGTTTAGCTTTCGAATAAGCTCTCGTGTTTGGATTTCGTTTTACAGCCATTTCGGGCAGAGCTGCCAATTAGAAAATCGGCAGCGGCTGATGGAAAAAGTTATTAATTATTAAAAGTTATTAAAACTTTATTCCCGAATAAAGTTTTTTCCACAAAATCCTTGCGATATAGACGCGGAACACTTATGATACAAAAAACATCAAAAGAGCTGGAGAGAATCCCTACCACATCGACGATCTGATTGAGTGTTAACCCAAATACAACAGTCACCGTATCCGAATCATTCACAACAGGTCTTTCATTCTTGTCATAATTGGAGTGAAATAATTTCTTCAACAAAGCTCGTTCGTATTCTCTGCCCTGGTTGCCTGAAGTGAAACGAATACAAAGATGTTGGGTAAACAAGTTCTGTTTCAAATAACAAAGCAATAAGTCTTAAAATCCTGTTACATGTATCTATTCATGCGTGCATGTTTAAAATGAATAAATAACGCAAGGCTTCATTAGAAACTCATGAGACAATGCTACCTTCTGCATATTCAAGTTCGCCGCCGTACAATACTTTTGCGACAACAAGCGATACAAGTGCAGTTATGATCTGCCTTTTTTCAATAAAAGGCCTATTTTACACGTATGCAAACGAAGTTTATCTGAGGGAGAATATTGGGGAAAAACTGTACCTAATTTCTTGTGGTATAAGTATCTCTCCTGTTGCCCTTTGAATCGGCTTCATTTTCTTAGAAGTGTTGAAAACGAGTCTTTGTCTTAAGAACTTGAAAAAAAAAAAAAGAGTAGTTTGCTGCTTTTACTTAAAGAAAAATCTACTATAAATTCAACAAACCTTTAATGAACAACGTCCCAGACGAAAAAAAGGTTAAAAGTTTCCGAATGCAGGCGACTTCGGCTAAATTTTTCGGACGTATTTTCAATGGAGGATTTTTGCCTTAAACATCGTGAAAAGAGTGTAGTTTGATGCTGTTACTAAGAAAACATTCAGCGGTTAACTCAACAAACCTCTGATGAACCAAGTCCCAGACAAAAACAGGATTAAAACCTTCAGAATGCCAGCAACATCCATCCGTACCGAGGTAATAAGCAAAATCACAAGGTCGTGGCTCAGAGAAGACGCTCTCGTCTGCGAGAAATAAAAACATCATGTAGCATTAATTTACCCCTTTGATAGAGAGAGTGGCAAATTTACACATTTGGACCGAACTTCTCTTTTCTCTACACTTGTTAATGAACTGCTGCTTCGCCACATTGTGTAATTTGACTTGGCATTTACATGAAGTTTGAAAACTGTTCGCCCGTACCTTATCAGAAAAATATCCCTCTGTACTTGCAGAAATAAAGTAAATTGTTAAATCAAGTAAAAATTCCTATTTGAATTCTGTTCGCGTGCGATATTGAGTGTCCAGTGGTCGATTAAAATAAACGATCCTCAAATGTAAACACTTTCAAAAAAGACATTCTGCAAAAAAAACAACAGCTATTATCGTCAAAGGTTTGCGGTTATTCATTGGAAGCGACTTTATTGTGAGACAAACGATTGCACTTCACGACAACAAAAGTATTTATTGGTTTTAAATTGCGTCTAGAAGGAAATATATTCCAATCTCTTGGCAGATATGATGCACAGACGCGAAACGTCTACGGATTCATTTAGTTAATATTCTCTTCAATTTCCCGAATTTCCACCCCGCTTCCTGTTAATTTGCCCAAGGGGTCTTTGCATTTATATCATCCAAATCTTAACCACGCTAAAGTTGTCTGAAATTCATCCGAAACTTTTAATAAACGCGAAAGATAAACTTGAAAGTTCCACATTTATAGTTTTCTTAGCTTCGTATCTTTCGCAAAAATGCATGGGAAGGAGGTAATAAAGAGAAAAATAATTCGTTGTATTCACCTCCTTCAGTCAACTGGCTTAAGCCGGCGTACACTTTCATTTCGTGACTCGCCACTATAGAAGACAGAGCCAAGACATTTCACCTGCCACAAGGCCAACGTATGTTCTTCATATTAATCTCCGGGAGTGTGCAAAGTTCTGTCTCTGGCAAAGTGATTATTTATCAGATAGAAGCAACCCGCCACTCTCTGGTTTCCCAAGTGATGGAAATATTATTCCTGGCACTTGGAAGTAGGGTGGCGGGGAAGATACTCTATCAATTACTCGTCATCTCAGGCTCCTAAGACAATTTCATATGAGCGAAAAGTGGTGTTTTTGGAGAATTTATTTTCTAGACATAAGACACGAAATACGAAACAAAATTAGGTAGAACTTCACTTCTTCTCTTGGCAAAGTACTAATTTTTAAACATGTAGCTATACCCAATTTCAGACTTCTCGCCTATAACTTGACGATCTAGCCCCCCTCCCCTCCCCCCAAACAAACAGGAATATCTCTCGTAATTTGGTTTGTTATCGATGGTTGCGGAAAGATGGAGAGGATGAAACCAAAGTCAACTTTGATGAGATGAGCTGGATGCTCACTAGTGCAACGACTGAAATGTTAGAAAATGTTGCTGAGCTAAAGGAAAAAATGATTTTAAATGAAAGACAGCTGCAGCAACTACGAATGATTTGTAAGAGGTATATTCTGCGACAATGCGATTATTAAAATGTTGATTATTACAATTTTTTGTTGCAGTACATATACACTTTTAAAAAGATGCTTGGTGAACACCGTAACAAACAAGCGCTCCAAAATCAAGATTTTGCTGCCTTAATGCATTCTTAAGAAAAGGCTTAATTAACAAAAGGAAAATCTTCGAAGTTTACCAGAAGCGAAAAAAAATAAGGAGCGAAAGGGACAGCAAGAAGCAATCGAAAAAAAAGAAACTGGGAGACTTACCGATCTGGGAAATCTCACCTCTGAACAGACCTAAACGATACAAGCAAGAGAATACAAGTGGAAAGCTTATCATAATCTCTTCTATTTGTGGAAAATCATAACTCCCTTCGTCTTTGATCTTTCCGCAAACCACATCCCTTGCGCATGCTTAGGAATTTCTTCCAGATAAGATCTGCCGCTACCTCGTTCCGGCGCCCGCTTGAGCTTGAGGCGCACTCACTACGGCAGCAATCAAAGTTTTATCTTAACAGCCAAAGTTAAATGTTAAGTAAAAGGTTAAAATTTTGTTTAAATGAACAAACGCAGGAAGGTCATAGGAAATACAGCATTTCTTAAGCAACATTTGGGATCTCGTTTCGGAATTATGTGGACGTTGCATGTAACTTTTCCAACAATGTGATTTAACAAATTTCGAGAAAAAACACAAAAATAAATTGACCCGAATAGGAATATCGGGAACATGACATTAAGTAGATATTATGTAACACGAATGAGAGAGAACTGTTCATGTCAGATCTACACCTTCACATTCGAGTGTCCGGGTCGGACACATATAGCGGCGTCGATGTCGAATAACTACAGAACAGCTCATTAACCCAACGAATTTAATGACGGCGAAGAATTCCAATGTTTACAAAACCATCCGGTCGCCCTTTCATCATAAATTACGAGGCTCAGGGAGCCGTAAAAACCACATGATGAAAGGCGGTAAACGAAAGAAAAGAAAACAGTTTTTACGTACCTAAATCATTCACAAGCGCTTTCCCACGTAGGTAAAGGGGCTCAAAAATAAAAAATTACTACTGAAGGATTGTGGTCTACTGACATACAAAAAAAATGAGGAACGGAACGGACTAACATAAAACCTTGTTGAGGAATAGCCTCAACACGAGTGTGTCCAAATCTTTCTAAAAGGCATTACTTTTTATAAGAATACAAAGCGAACCCGCTTCGCTGTTACTGTTGGAGTTGAGTCCCACCGGTACGACATGTTAATGTTTATGCAATTGTGCTTCACGCAAAATAATTTATTTGTTTCATGCAAGGACATCTTAACTGAAATTTTCAAGGACAAGTTGCGTCTCACCCAAACACACAAAACTTCAGTGATTCAAACTGAAAAAGATTTTGCGAAATTAAAAGTGTGGCGAGATATGTGAATCTTTCCATCCCGAAATAAAAGTGCTGCAAAATTTTTACGCTAAAATTCGTGTTATTTAACTTGTCCATGTCCGCGAGAAAGGATTCAATTAACTTTTCAGTCGCGTAGCGTCCTATATGCATATACGCACATGTGTACTTGAAGTGACCAGGAAATTTTGAAAACAATGTTGTGTTTACGCCAAGTTTGCTCAAATTAATGGCAAGACGCTTTGTTTTTTGCTTGTATTCACACAACTATTTCGAACAATAAATAAAGAACGCAGTATTTTTCGCTCAGTTTACTTAGGTTCCTAGATCATATGTACTTGTGCGTACTTGAAAAAATGACCACGTTACGCGCCTGCTTTCACTTCTAAATTCCGTAAAAGTAAAATTCTTTTCAACAAGGCTACCTTGACAATGGATTGGGTCTTAATAAAATTGATTTGAATTTTCCATGATAAATTTTACCTCTTATCTTTTAAAATGCTCTTTTTGACTTACAAAAACACTTATCTATCCGAGTAAATTTTAGTAGGGTTATAAAAAAGTCGAGAAGGCGTTTATGACAATGGTGGCTGAGAAGGTCAGAGAAAGGAATCCTACATTAGTTGTCAATTTAGCTGTGTTACTTGAGAATAACTTTGCATATGTTTAAAGAAAATATTTTTTTCCTCCTCCGTTACTCAGTTACCAACTTCTCGCTCGGAAATGTCGGAGGTGTTTTCTGTCGATGTAGCCATCGAATGGCTCAATAAAATCTCTAATTGGCTTTCAATGTTTCCTGATGTAACAGTTTCACCTATAACTGTACCTCAAACGAAACGAGCCGACAGTTCATTACGGCACCAGTAGCGACTTAAAACTTATGAAAACACAGACATAATCAACTTTTCAGATTTTGCATTTCATGAAACAAATTGCAAAGGAGAACCAAACTCTAAAATTCAAAATCAAAAGAAAATTAGTTTCAATTTCGAAAATTCCCGTCGGTCTGCCTTTTGTTTTCAACAATTCTTACACTTTTTCATAAACATTTTAAAATGCCTATTTGTTTTAGGCAGCAACTGCTCTTTGCACCCGACATAACAGTCTACCGCAGAAGAGACTGTTTATTAAAAAAATATTCATTTTAGTTTTAATTACAGTTTTCCAACCAAAGTCTTGAAAATAAACTAAGGCAATTTTTGTTTTCAAGCCCTTCAGAGGAGACGAAAATATTAGAATTTCATTGCTACTCACAACTCGTCCCAAGCCGGTTTACCTGCTTGCACTTGTAAGTAATCCTCTGTGATGGTGTTCAAAACGTAATCTCGGGTTCATTCATGAAATACAAGTCTCTAGGTGCCTCGGAACAATCAAAGAAACAAATACTGTGGTTCTCTGTCGGCGGCGGGTAGGACAAGATAATTTGGTTTCGTCAGCTGAGTTGATCATATAAACTGGTCACCTTATGAAGGGGTTTCCAATTTAAAAGCTGGGATTTTGAGCGATGAGTTGTCTAAGCTGACTAGAGCAAAACTTCATAGTAAGCTCTCGTGTGACGTGGATCTGCTGACTTTCAAGTGAAGTCGACAAACAGCGGTGTAAAATTATCAGTATAGAGAAGTAAAGTAAAGCGAACAAAAGTAAGGGAGGACAAGAAAATTTCCTTCCGCTCTAATGTCTCTTGCTTCATATCGCATAAAATTACCGGTAATATCTGAGAGGTTCTGTCATTTAATTGATGGCCTCGCCCGTTATTTGATTGAAAGTCTCCCTAGAAAAGGCAATCCATCCGGTCGCTGCCCTGCGTCCCGAGTAGGCCCCAGGCTTTTTCAATCAACACACGAAAGTTAAAAGAAACCAATAACAAAACCGCTATAATGAGATTAAAAGAAGTTATAAAAGAGACAACAAGCAATGAAAAAAAAAGGTATTAATAGATCCTAATGCCAAAAGGGTTACTATATCGGAAAGAATTGAACTTTATATAATACGAAAACGGGAGCAATTGCAATTGTGCAGCCTGTCTTTCACTGAATCGTTTCAGGGATAATCTCAACTAAGTTGAAATTGTAAATTGGCCACCGTAAAGAGTTAAAAAGCTGACGTTTCGAGCGTTAGCCCTTCGTCAGAGCGAATGGCTCTGAATCGCTCCGAAGAAGGGCTAACGCTCGAAACGTCAGCTTTTTAACTCTTTACGGTGGCCAATTTACAATTTCAACTTAGTTGATATTACCAAATTACCTTGTTACCCCCACCGACGCAGCACCACAGTTTCTTTAGAAACTGACCCCCTTTATTCATTTCACGGAGTCGGTTGTGTAATTTGAAAATATTTTGAAACAACATTTTTAAGTTTGCCAAACATGTTTCTACATTACTCGAGTCATCTTCAATTGCAAATGGTCGTTGTAAAATTTGAATTCAATGTACACATTTTACACATACGGTATCGAATTCATGTACGTAAGATTACGCCATACAGATTCATAAAACTATTTGAATAAAATACAATGGAGGCACGGAAAGGCAATAGTGTTTTTTAAACTAACACAGGAAAAATCAAAACTACACTAATAAAAGTAAGTAAAATATTAATTATAGTAAATACCTAATGAAAAAAGTATCAAAAACGGATAAAAAGAAAGAAAGAAATCTAAGTGTTTTAACTGTAGGTTTAGAGTCAGCTTCTCCCATTTGAAATACCTGGCCTCTTTCATCATTTATCTGTTTTATTTTAATATTATATCCTTACGAAGGAAGAAATGAATGCAATATGAGAAACAAGCTTGCAATTCAAGTTAGCAGTGAAGTCGTTTCGTCGTCTTTTTTCTTTTACCGCTTCACATCAATAACTAATCAATTACTCTCCTCAGCCCAAATATTACAATTCAATCCAACTAGTTGTAACAAATGTCAGTGAGCTCAAGATAAACGTGACAATATCGAAAATGACACGAAGGGTTAGTAACGTAAGAACTTAGTCAAGGGTTAAACTGTTCTAAATACCGTACTTCAACCTACAAATTATTCACACTGATAAGTTCCTTTGCCATCCCTCAAAACTCTATTTTGTATACGCAGCGAAAAAAAAATTACTTATGCCTGCACGTGGACAGAAATAAACCTGCTGTCCATAATTTACATAATGAACTTTGATTTCAAATCTTTTCGAAACTCCAAAAGGTATTGATTTAATTTATCACTCCTGATGTGCCAAAAGATATTAAATCTGCACTTAGAACTGACACGCACCTAGCAATTTGGTTCTTAGTGAGCCAAAAGCAACAAAAAGTAATCGTTTTTCAGACGGGGGTGTCACCTTGATTAGATTGTTTTTATATACGTCATTGTATTTGAGCAAATCTCACTAAACAAAATCAGTTTAACTCGAATTTCGTCTTCGAGGAAAACATGCCGGATTTAGCTAAATGTTAACTCCTATTTCTTCGATAAATAACCTGTTAAAACTGGGTCAGCTTGTTTTATGTCTCTCACCTAAACTTCCACAAAGCTCCCTATATTAAGTAAATTATTTACACCGGTGGTGAAGTTTCCATTCGTCGTTTCACGTGATGACAAAAATATAATTTTTTGATTACAGGCATGCTATTTAATTACATACGTCCTTTGCCATTTATGGCTACTAGAACCTGCATGGCTTTTGAACAAATTTCGATTAGGCATGACATTTTCCCTAAAAGCTTAAGTTCAATTGCGATATCATTGGCCTCAAGAACAAAGCCTCGGGTAGCATTTAAAATGTTTATGAAACCCTCCCAGGGTTTATAACCGGCGTTTTTACATAAGTGTGAAAGGCAAATGGAGGGAAAACAGAAACATTTGAACCTTTTCTGCTGCGTTATACAAGTAAACAACGGCAAGCACTAATAACTTATCCATTTTAAGCTCGCCAGCAGGTAATCACACAAGTTACCTCTTGGTATTGTGGATGCCAATTTCTTCTTAAGTAACCAAGAAATTTTCGCCCAAATTTTGCCTCTTGTCCAAGGGAAACAAGCGTAGGAAACGGTTATCCTCTAGACATTGATTATTAATTATTAATTTTCAGGGGGAAGAGGAATTGTTGCTGCCAGGTGACGGGCTTTCAATTTTTAAGAAATGAGGCAAAGAAAACAGATATGCTTCACTGAAATATTAGCGTTACAACACCAACACTTTATGACAGTTTTCAATACTAATTTAAACGTCCAAAGTTAAGAAGACTGACGAGGAGTTTGTCAATAGACAAACACAACATTACATTACACTGACAAATTACTGGCTAGGACTTTTCATAACACGAGAGAAAACTTGCTTACACTCACCGCTAAGTACGTGCTTTCCTATCAAGGTTGCAGATCTTTCTACGCTCTATATGAATCCCCTCAATTCAGTTTTTCAGTTTCTTTATTCATTTGTTGCAAAGCTGTGGTAAAAAGTGAGGCACTGGTTACATTTTCACGATCAAAGTTTAGCATTAAAACCTCCTCTTCATTTGCAATCAGGAATATCTATTTCTGTCGAGACCTTGAAAATTAAATACGAAAAGATATGACAAAAAATACCTCAAAACAAGCGCTTATACGCTATTGTATCTTCTCTTTCGATATACTGCTTCTCACTAAACTTTAATTTGTGTCGAAGGCGTAGAATGATGGACGACAGACGTTTCAAAAGGGAACTACTTCAGCAAATTCAATCGTCGTGCTCCGACACCTTGATGTAATACCATGGATACCAAGAGCTTCTTTGACCAGGTCTTTCTCCCAGGAGAGCTCTAGACATAGTTTCATGTGCACTGTCAAGAACAGATAAGAGACAATTATGGCGTAAAGCGGAAATATACTCGACAGATGATGAAGACGCCACAACTTACTCAGCCAGGCAACAACTGAATTCAAGCCTTTTGCAAAGCTTTATGGCTTTTAAGATTTAACGGACTGAATTCAAATGGACTTAAGTTTTATTCTTACAAACATAACAGGCCTTTTGTTTGTGGTTACAAAGGGTGCATTTGTCATAAGCAACAGAATTGCACGACGAGTGGTTCTCTAATGTGCGGCCCCCACGCCGAGTTAGAACCACTTAAAATGAGTCATTTTTAACCAAATGGTTCCTTAATAGATCAGGGAACACAAAATGGAACTCATAACTTTTCCAATTGCTCATTTAACAACGGGAAAGCTACATGTGCGTGTTTCGCATATCGGTGTCAAACTAATCAATATTCACGAATAAACTGGAACATTTTTATCTTGTAATCAGTGTAATTTCCATACAAGTATTGACGTCAAATGGGTTGAAAAATTGTTGACAACATGGCACGAAAATTGGTCATAAAGCTTGGAACAAAACACGAACGTGACTCGAAATATAAAATTTTTGAAGTACGTGATCAACAAACACATGGCCAACATTGAATTGCACTATTTCCTTTTTTTTATTTTGAACAATGATATCTTAATTTAACGAGGTAATGAACAGGCCAACCTCTTGGATTTACGGTATCATTCCGTCAAGGCTGAGCCTGTACTACGTACTACGGGAGCCAAAACGCCCTTCCGGTTATAAAACATCGCTCTTACAGATAAGAAGATAAGATAAGACATGCAGCTCCCAGTAAGAAGACGTTTACGTGTTGAACACCTAAGATAACCTAACGAGCTAGGAAAGGTTTCATCTCAGCACTGAATAAATGAAGGCTCCTCACTTGCACTGCTTAGTTATCTTAATTGCTTTCGCAAATTACTTACATATCCTAGACATTGTTTCTAAGTAGTCCGCATTCATTTCTAATTTTCATATTAGTGACTCAGTGAACTTTGCCAGTTTCTTCCATTAGAGTCAGGCTCTGGTAACAAACTCAAAAACAACACGATGTTCACGGCTCGGTTATTAAACATTTAACGCCCAAAAAACAACAGATGGATCTCTACGCTAAAGAAAAAAACAACTTCACGAAAAGGAAGACTTACGTTATGCGCGATAGTATTACAAGCCCTTACAAAAGTGTTCTCCCAAGGGGTGCCGTTAAATTGATTTTTAATTTCTGGCTCATTTGAGTTCAGACTGATCAATTCAGAATCTGACTTCTCCTGTTTAGCCCAGAAAATACAAAATTTTCCAACACCAAAAACGACGGACTTAGAAAAAATACTGCGTATTGCCCTTTGAGCGTGTGTTATTGTAAACAACTAAAACTGACAAGTTGTTACAAAAAAAAAAAAACCTAAACGACACATTTCAGCGACACCTGTTTGCCAAACACACTGAAGAGACGAAAACATTAAGGAAAAATACGTTTTCAACAATCATAAATGATGATAGAGAAACATAAATATCATGCTGCAGTGAATGAAACGATAAATAATTAAAATAATAACAAAAAATAACAAAGCTAAATGAGTGTACTAAGATGTTGGAGACATGAAAAAGTTTGGATTAATGAATCAGGTTTTCCGTCATTTTCATGAAACAGAGCCATTTTTTATTTTGGATATGAATGTATTTTCATGGATATCAGTCAATGGTTGCAGTTATTGTTGACTTGCGACAGTTTGACAATGTTTTTGCTATCAAGGCAGACTACCTGCGAACCGGTGGATAGCGTGACATACCGCCCCTTTCAACTTTCTTTCCTCACGCGTTCCGTTCCACGTGATCTTTGGAAAGACTGTACCTCACTTCCTATTTTTTTCAGAGAACACACGTTTTCATGTAGACATGAATTCTGAGTTGGCTTTTATGAACCTTTATGGCCTTTTAAGGCAAAAGATGTTTCTAATTCCCTTTGTAAAAGCCAGTGTCCTTTTTGAAAACAGTTGCATAACATTGTAAGGAATAGACAACTTTTTTGAGAGACATGTTTCGGCATGCTTATGCAATCTTCAATTAATGAGTAACTGAACGTGAGTAATTATATAGCATACAAGTAGATGAATAAAATATTTACAGTATGGTGTAATACAAATTAAAAGCGGGTACTAATTACAACGTGACACCAAACATCAAAGGTGTGAACTAAAAGGCTAGAAAAGTGTCATAATGCTGTAATTGTTTGTGAAGTCCAGGTTTGGTCTTATTCATATAACAGTTGCAAAAGTTCACAAAATACCTTAGTACATGACGGCTCTCAAATGGTGTAGAAGACAAAGTTGACGTAAAACAATGAAGAACAAAAAGACAAAAGAACGAGGAAAACAATGAAAACAAAAGGTTGAGAAGGCGGTGTTCTGTTTTGAGGTATCCTGTGTCTTCTGCACCAAGAAGGAACCGCAACATCAGACGAAATCACACGTTTGCACCTAAACCTCGAAATTCGCATGTTTTTAAAAGGCGCAGTATGAAAAGTCTCCAATTCAGAAGATGTGTATTTACAAACATGCCTCATTTTTGAAGGTCCCACTAAATTTGAATAGACAGAAGTATGTTTCAAACAATGGCACATTTAGCACCTGTCTGTACCCTTGGAACTTATTGTTGTCTTGGATATCCTAACTATGAACGCAAAAGCAAACCTTCACTAAAAATTTACAGGAATACTCATCCCCCAAACCAGCCTTCCCTTCCCACACCCCCTTAAAAAAAAGCTAAGATAACCTTAAAAACAAAGATGGTTAATCAACAAGTGATTAGGTCATCGCGTTGATTATCTTTTTGGTCCCTGTCCGGTGTTCAACTACAGGGACAGCGGAGACCATTTTAAAGTGGTAGGGCTAAAAAACTTGGCCAATACAAACAAATGCTAAGTAAGTGTTCGTCATTTATCTAGTACAGCTTTACCGAGCCTTTGACTTGACACCTTTGATTACATTCAAGTAGTAAAATCCATATTCTGTCCATCTCAACTGGAGCCCTAAGAAATAAATCCCAGCAATAAAAGTGGTAGGGCTATACCCTACCAGCCCCTCCCCCTCCGCGGTCCTTGAACTATGGGGGTCCGGGGTGAGCTAGAGCTTGGCATTTTGAACTCCGGGTTAGGAGTCTGGGTTTGTGTTTATTGGAGGCCTTTGGCAAATCAAGACGGGCGGAAACGAGAACATGTCAGGTCGAAACAGTAGATTTAACGAGCAGAAAGGTAACTCTGCCCGTGAGTTTCAAAACTCTGTACACTTTTCAGTCGCCCTGCGCAATACAATGACGTGAAATCAACAAATTTTGAGTGGTTGAGGACGGAAACCTCATAACGAGTTATGTGCGCTTTTTACGAAAATGATCGGAACTCAACTCTTCGCTCACCTATCCTTTAGTTATGGCCTGGGGCCGTAAGATACGGTAAATACATCCCACCATCCTTGAAAATCTAACGAAAAGTAAAATTAGATTTTTTTCAATCAACGTTTTCCTCGGCGTTCCCGTCTGGATCACTTTAAGCCCCCATTCTGTTGTCATCACTTTGACTTATCAACCCAAAACTAAACGAAACTCTGCACTCCTTTAATCCTTTCCACAATAATATTTGCTGAATACAAAAATAAAATAGTAAACAGAGAAAATCGAGCCTCCTCGCATCTACGCAGAAATGTCATGTGCTTTTTCATGTGTTTGAGCGCAAAAGAGATTCATGAAAACAAAAACAGGTAGTAAACATCTGTTCGTTATCGGTCAGCAAACAACAAATCCATAACAAAAAATTTCCAAAACGTATTTTCAAGGTTACCAGTAAGGATCGTAGGATTAAACTAGTGAAGTAAGATATTAACAAGTCTATTTCGATATCAGCAACGGAATACAGTGATATTTTATCCTAAAGCGCGGTTGGGCTAAACTTCTTTTTTTTTCCTTGGTTTCTGCAAGGAGTTTCTATCTGTAAGTTGAGCGATTAGTTTAAAATCTCTCGGCACAGTTTATTATCAAATAGTTCAGGTTGTATGTGATCCAGCTCAAAATCAACAAGGGCAGTGAACTTTATAAAACAAAAATAGAAAACCTAGAGTTGATCCTCATTCCAAACTGTTTTACTGTATCACAATTCAAAAATAATTCTGAAAATTGAATTGTCAGATAAACAAATTGATGGCTCTAAGCCAATGATATGGAGCTCTCGACAACATTTCCGCACAGACTTAACAAATGCATTGCAGCCGAACTAACTACAGCCTCTTTTTCCTTAATCCGGTCGTCGAGCCGGCAGATATTATCTCACCCAGTACGTATGATAGCGATAAAACAACGAGATACCGAATGCAGCACATCGGCTACACAAGTTACAATCTCGTCTCTCAAAGACTTCGAGTGAAGACTTCTCAACGATGCGTTTTATAATCAACGTATTAAAGACTTTTACTTCATACTCTGATACTTTGTGAAGTACACAGGAACGATACAAAACAAGCTTAAGGGAAAACACGCAACGCAATGGAGTGTTTCACCCAGTTCTTGAGTGCCAAAAAACTCAATGGGATTTTAAATTAAAAGGTTCTCTGTACGTAACCTTCTTATTCCTTTGTTTCTCTCGCTGCTTTCTTTTTATTGTGGAAATTCTTACAGACCGACACCCCCCAGACATAGGAAGTATCCGTTACTATCTTACGAAAACGATCCTCGTGGAAGCAATCAGAGATGTGAGCGTCAGATTGTCACGTATTGAACTCGCCCACCTGACTTTAAACATTGGACAAAACATGACGACAAACAAATACTTGTGAAGTATCATGGCACTTTCCTGTAATCAATGAACCGTAGAAACCCCACGACGGTCAGAGATGTCAGTGAAGTTGTTTCTACTCTAAACGAAAACGAGACTCAAAAGCTAGTGAGATTTCCTTCCAGGTGTTCGCATCTAAAATTTAACCCTTTAACTCCCAGAAGTGACTAACATGTAACTTGTCCAAGTATTATCCGTACATCATCAAGAAAAAAGTAATGAGAATACTTAAAATAATGGGGTAGTAGTAGTTATCTCGATCTAACACCAAATTCTC